GTGAAGATAGAGCTAACATTTCAGACTTAATTCTAAATTATTATTGTGGCAATAATTTAACATTAAATCCTAAAAATGAACTTTGCCAGGCTCTACTATCACTCAGTCCTCTTCCCAAACTTGAAGAAGCTTTCAGTACACAGACATTAATCTTTTTTTCCTATGATTATCTTAAGCAGGAGATACCAGGATGGCCTGAGGGCATGGTTCAGACCTTCAGGGATAATCTTGATTTTAAATATCTCCATCCTCTGTAAGTATACCCCTAGTTGTCAGCCTATTAAGTCTTTTTTCTTTATAGAATCATTTTATTTATTTACTTATTTATTTTGTGAGGAAGATCAGCCACGTGCTAACATCTGCCAATCCTCCTCTTTTTGCTGAGGAAGGCTGGCCCTGGGCTAACATCCATGCCTCATCTTCCTCCACTTTATATGGGACGCTGCCACAGCATGGTTTGCCAAGCGGTGCGTCGGTGCGCGCGCGGGATCCGAACAAGCGAACCCCGGGCCGCCGCAGCAGAGTGCGCACACTTAACCGCTTGTGCCACCGGGCCAGCCCCAGCCTATTAAGTCTTGATATTTGGCCTGGAACACTGAGGAATAAAAAAATGTAGAATAAGGTCCAAATGAGAGTGGCCTCATGCAGAATTTTTATGAATGTTGCTTCAAACACTAAATATTGCACACATCTTGGTTGAGAGAGAAAAATCATTATTTGCTAAGAGAAGGAAGAATGCTCGGAAGTCTGTGCTATATCTTAAGCAAGAACTTTGCAAACAGAGGAAAATAAAGCTCAATGTCAGTTAACAAACAAATGTGCTATTTCAAAAGATATAAAACAAGAAATCTAGAAATGGACAGAGCCCAGGAAATGAACCCAAGTCCTTTTTCGTAAGGCCCTTCCAAGCAGTGTTGATTTATTTCAGCTTAACTAGAAACCAAACAAATTAGCAATAGCTTGTGTTTTATGAAATGCTACAGAAAGACAACACTTTCATTCCAAGTGTTACTCTAAAGAGGAAGAACCAGAGAAATCACTGCCATGGATCTTGATGCAGTCATCTTCTTCCGAAGCCACCAACGCCCTAGATTCACTCTTTTATATTTCAAACTGTCCACGTTCTCAGAGGCCATATGAGATTGCTTTTAAGTTCAAGACCCCTAAAAACATTTATTTAACTTGACTTATACAAGTTCAAAAAGTAGTTAACATTTTTTAAGTTTCAAATTTCAAAAGAAGTTTAAAAATATAAGAAAAAAATGCTCCATTGGACAGACTGAAACAGCGATAAAATCATTATAAAAATAACTGTTAAGAGTAAAAAAAAAAAAGACAAAATGAAGACTGTCCTGATTAACTAATGAACCTGACAATTATAATTAGTTTCGGTCCAATAGCAATGAAAGAAGAAAAAAAAATACCTTTCAAAATGAATTATCAAGAACAGGGGTAATTCAAACTGACCACAGAGCAAATTTATCTAGGAAAAATATTACAGCAATGTAATACTTAACAGTCATCCTCTAAATTCCAACTCTTCTGTCCGTTAAGCTTGAAATGTAAAATCACAACTTTCCATAGATTTATGATCCCAGGAAACTGGTCATCACTTAGGTACTAAAGAAGTCAACAGCAATCACCTTCTTAGTCAAAGCACAGCTGAGTTCCCTGGATGCTTAGGCCCAGATTCTACCCTCAGAAAAGAGTCACCTGACTTTTACAAGATACAACCAAGTTTGCAAGCAAAAGGGAAAGATTAATTCCTTTGAGTCTTAAAAAGAAAGCAACAATACTTTCCTTGAAGCAAACCAATTTTGTCAATTTATAAAGGCTTTCCATGACAAAGCCCTAGGAAGCCTTGAGGCATCTTGGCCCCCTGCTATCAGAGGGCTGAAACAGGACAGCTAATTTGCCAAACTCCAGGACCAGGAACGGTAAGCCTAATAGGGAGCTGGGGGTTGATAAATGTTTGCTGAATGAGTAAACTAGATGAAAGCATGGAAGACTAAACTAAATGCTAAACAGCCTAAATAAAATGCTACTCTGAAGTGTAAATGCAATGCTGAGGTTTAGAAAGAAGGGACTAAATGTGAAAGTTATTTTAAAATAGGATCCACTGGACCCTAACTTAGTAAATGAAATAAAGTTAAGTCCCTACTACCTGATACATAAGAGACAAGAAAGGAAACTGACTTACAAAACTGCAGGCAAAGATTGAAACTGTTTTTACAAGTCAGTTTAACTTGAACTATTTTTCCAAGCATGTTAACTCTTAAATATCGTATATATTATATTTACAGGTATGAATGTCTACAGACACATCACACCTATACCAGGCAAATAAGATACTTCTAAATTATTACTATACTAAAAATATAAGCCTCTGAAGAACGCACAGGAATAGAAATGCTGTCACTCAGGATAACAATCCCTTATTGTCTTGCACTTGGAAGATGTTAATGAAAAATGATAATGACAGGATTGTGACTGCACCAACCTCCCTGAGAACAAATTCACTATATCCAGTTTTCTACAAAAGACAAATGATGGTCATTACAAAAGGATTCACAATGGATCTCTCTGGACTCCCAGTTCTCCTAGGTAATTTGAAATATTATTCAAAGTATGCAAAATTATTTTACATATACTTCTTAAGGAAAACAAATGGGAAAAAACTACATATGTGTGTATTTAATATCAGCCACCAGAGAGTTCTTGACATATATCCAACATATAGGCTCTGTCCTCAAGGTCATTCTTATTGTAATCAGTTGAAACTAAACCCAGTTCTCCATGGTAAACTCAGAAAGCAACTTGGTTATTTTGCTAGATAAAGCCACCACATTTTCCATTTCTGAAATGTATGCTTAACACTCTAAAAACTGGTTTACTTGCCGAATAGACATCAATAGTGTATTATGCTCCCCCTATTGGCTAATATTCAAAATAACAATGAATTCCCCAGGGGTTGCCTTTGAAGTGCGGGGGTTCAAAAGTAAGTTGGTGATTTTTATATTTAAAAACATGAGCTGGATCAACAATTGTTAAGCAAAGCTGCCATGTAATGGTCAGATTCCATCAAAACAGGAAAAATTAAAGTTGACAAATGACAAAGGCAAACTGAAGGGCTGAAAATATGCTGAAGCCTTGAAACACTAAACAATGCAGAATTAAAGCCAAAAGCAGAGAACACTAAGAAACAGAGCAACATCCTTTAACTGACACAATGGCATGAAATCAATTTCACTTTAATAGCCCTTAAGGGGGTAAGAATTATTTCCCTGCCTCCTGTGCCAACCCCAAGCTGTTTCCTAAGGAAGCCAAGTAATGCTGACCAGCAATGTCTCGAGAATTAATAAAAGAAATTAAGAATAAAGATCCAAATTAATTAATACAAATCTGAGTTCTACTTATAATCACTCGGAGCCAGTTTCAGAGGAACTGTAATTTGGCACCCCCATATCACCTAAATTAATCACAGATATCTTATTTGTGTTTCAAGAGAGATGTGTTCAACTCAAAGGGGAAGCTGAAAGGTGGGAGAAAACACCTGGAATCTGACTGTACTTGTTGCTCTCTGCTGAGTGCCTAAACTAGCTCTCCGTCAGAATGAACAGAAAGTTCTGTCTGTGTATTAGCCTGGGCAAGTAACTAACCTCTAAGGTCTTAGCTGTAAAATGGGGCTATTAATTGTGTTTTTACCACAGAGTTGGTATGAGGATTAAGTGTCCCTAAGGCATTTAGGAGAGTGTCTGGCACATAGTTTGGGCTCAATACACGTTAGCTATTATTATTACTTGAAAGAAATAGCTAATTTCACACTGAAGTTAACTGTTAGCAGCCTAAAAGTACCATTTCAGGAAAATTAAAAGGTCTGGACATGTGCTTTGCTACTTGCACAGACTTCTCTTCCTCCCAAACGGCTCGCTTACTTTTCTTGCAAGGGAGATGGAGCTCAGAAACAACCTGGTTCCCCATCTCAGCCTGTCCTTCCTACCGTCCCCTAGCCTCATCGCTCTTCTCCCGTCACCGCTGGGCTCAGGACAAGCAGCGCTAACGGCCGCGCAGCGCTTGCTCGGCGCCAAGCAGTTTTAGGACTTGACATGTATGAAATCACTCAATCCTCATAGCGACCTTATGAGGCATGTACTATTATGATTCCCATTTCACAGCTAAGGAAATGCAGCGATTTTCTTCTCTCACTTCTTCTTATGGACACTAAATCCGTAAGTTCTACTCTATCAAGCTAATTCACGCTTGACAAGCCGGTTCCCTACACTATGCGATTCCGGAAAGTGGGGCAAATGCCCTAATAAGAAGACTCCAGTCAGATTCTCCCAGCAACAGTCCACGACTTCCAAGCTTGTTCTGACCGAATAAACATGCTAAGAGAAGCCTTCAAAACAAACGAGGTCAGGCTGCTAATAAGCTAACGGGGGTCGCGTTGTCTGCAGGGACTCCGCGCTGCAGCGCCCGGCGCCGCCCGCAGAGCACCCCGAGGGCGCGGCCGGCCGGGAGCGCAGCGCACGTTGGTGCGCGAGTGCTGGGGCCGCAGCCTCTGCAACGGCAACTGAGTGCAAACCCACAGCAAACCTTTCCCACCGACGCTGTCACCCGCCCAGCGGGAAGTGGCCGGCGCGCCCCGCAAGGGTCAGAAGAAAGTGCGGAGAGGAAGAGTGAGGGCAGGCGTGGAGGAGATGTCCTCCCCAGCATAGCGCATCGCCCCGAGCGCTGCCCACCGGGGGCAGCCACTCCCCACGCACCGCGGGCCAAGGATCCCGGCTCCTCGGAGCGTAAACACTGCCCGACCCACGCCGTCCCCCAAGCCCGGGAGGCTGGAGCGACCCCGGGCCGTGAAACAGGCACAGAGCTCCGCGCAGCGCCCACAGGCACCGCGCAGCCTGCAGAGCCCGCGGCCGGGACGGGAGCTGGACCAGCGGCGCGGCCAGGGGCGTCCAGGCGCGGGCTGCAGCGCTGCTGGGTCGGCCGGCACGTACCTCGGAGGCGGTGTGTCAAGCGGAGATCCACCCGCCCCAAGCTGGAGGAAAGCAGAGGAAAGTTTCCCCGCCCAGCGCTCGGCGGCGGCGAGCTCCGGCAGCTGCTGCGCCGCGGCGCAACTACGCCATCCGGACCCGCCGGGGACTTTCACCTCCTGCAGGGAGCTCCGGGAATCGCACGGGGAAAGTGGCTGGGCACCAGAGCCGCTGACCTCCCTCCCTCACTCACTGGGAAGAGGAAAGCGCCGCTCAGCGTCCCCGAAACCCTCGATTACCCCCATCGGGCCGACCCAGCGCGCCCGCTCTCCCTCACACACGCGGGCGGGGACGGGCAGGACGCCACAGCAATCAGCGCGCGGGGGGAAGGGCGCTCCTCCTCCGCCGTCCCCACCGAGGGCTCTGGGCCGCCGAGAAACTCCTCCTCCCGCCCCCCGCCTCCTCTCTCCTCCCCCTTCTCCTCCCGGGCCGATGGATGAGCCCCGAGCGCCGCTTGAGCCAGCGTTTCCCTTCGGACTGAGGAGGGAGGGAGAGAAGGAGTACGGGGAGCCGCCGGGCTGCTGCGCGCCCAGGTTGGGGTGGTGAGGGTCCCAGTCCTTGGGGGAAGAGCGCGGGGGACGCGGGCGCGAGCTGCAGGAATTCGCTCCCTCAAACTAGGTCGCTCAAACTTTCCAGGGCTCTCTGGAGGAGTTGGATTTTTATTTGGTTCCCTCCGTCTTGATATAAAAATTCTAAACCTCCAGTTATCCGATCACACCGTCTTGCCCACTCCCTAGCAAAGCCCCCCACGCACACATTCATTCTTTCCCTGTTTGTTTTTCCCACCTCCAGTCCTGCTTCTTATCTCAAGATGCGCTCTGATGGTGGGCGCCTGCGGGGTCCTGCCTCCTCCTCTGGAGCCAGCTGAGAGTGCATTCCCCAGCCGTTCCCCCTGCTCGCTAAATAAATTGATACAAATAAAGGAGCTAAGTCAGCATTACTGGCGTTACCCTAAGGTTGGCACGGTATGAACGAAGGTGTCGGTGGCCGTGCAACTTCCTGTATGCAGGTGCCTGTGAACCTGTAGGAGTTGACGGATACGATAATCAGAATACCACTTTGATACTCCTGTTTACACCCTGTTTTTCTATTAAAAGATATGCTTAAATCACAGGATATTGTTTTACCAACAGGCTGGTGAAATGACCGTGGGCAGACAGGTTTCAGACACCTGACTTCCAGTCCTGACTCTGCCCTTAGACTAGCTGTGGGATCTTGGACAAACGGCTTAAACTCTCCAAGTCTCTGCTTTCTCCTCTATAGCATAAGAAGCTTGGCCTAGGAGACCTCTTCCAGTTCTAAAGTGTTATGGTAGGCCTTTAATATGTGGGAGAGTGGAGTGGGAAGTTCTTATATTATTACTTATATTACTATTTGGAAAGTTATTGGATTTTCCTACTTTGAGAGAAGAGGAAGTATTTCTCATCCTTTTTCTTTTGTACATGTACATAGAGAATCCACCCAATTGGAGATACTTTCACAAAGGTCAAATCATCATTGATCCCCTAGATTACTGCAAAAACTTCCTCAATAAACCATTCATTCCTTACCAATATTTGTTGAGTACCTGCTGTGTGAGAGGCTTGAGCTAGCTTGGTGATACACATAGGCATAATATCCTGAAGGAACAGTCTAGGTAGAGTTAGCCTCAGCTTCGATGTAGTCTCTCTCGATTAAAGAGAGAGGCCTTAGTTTCTCATAGACTCAGATTACATAGTATTCATGCCTCAAATTGTCAAGTTTTAGTTTCAAGTGCAAACATGAACACTTGAGCTGGGTGTGAATATTTAATCCTATGTTTAAATGTATCAATCCTGTTAAGGCTTTCTAATTTCTAAATAAAATGGCATGGTAGAAGAGAGAAAAACCAAGTCCTAGATAATTTAGAAGTGTTTTGTCTTTAAAGGGTGATGAAGTGACTGTTCACAATGAAGCCAGATTCTCAACAGTGTAACCATCAACATCAGTTGAACAATTACTCTGTGCCAGGCAGAGTCCTAAACATTCTATACGTCCAACCACATTTACTTCTCACGGCCCTATAAGGCTATATACAAACTGAGGCCTATGTACAAACCCACATATATACTGAGGACTTATAACCTACCAAGATAGTATAGCTAATAAGCAAGAGGGCCAGGATTCAAACTCATGTCCATCTAGCTCTGAGGCCAAGTCTTCAACCACCGGGACATACTACCTGTCACCAAAAGCTTTACGTATTGGCAAAATGAAAGGTTTGGGGGAGTTTTGTTTGGTTGGCTGGTCGGGCTTTTTTTGTAAAATTTCTTTGAAATTCAGGGCTATTAGTGTCAGTAGAAGATATGGAAAAACACAAGAAATTATATCAGTGTTTACAAAACCAGCAATGTCTACAGAGGTGTTTTCTCTTTAAATCTTTATGCTAATATCCAGACACCTAAACAAAGGTTTAAAATAAATTTCTGGCTTTCCAGCAAAGCTCTAGAAAAAGGGTTCCCTTACCTTTTATTAATGGCAATATTAACTGATGTCTAGGGGGATGAATCCTCTCCTTTCATTGGTTTCTTACAAATTAGGACTGTGTTCAAGTTATAGTATTTGTTACTGTAAGATACAAGCTTCCTTTGGTCCAAGATGGTATCTTGTTCATTTGTTCTGAATTTTTTCCAAAAAAATTCTAAGCAGGAGGGTGAAATAAAGAAGTGCACTTTATCTCACTTACATAAACATTTGACAGCAGACAGTCTCAGTGATTTACTGAGGCCGTGTTTCTCACAAGAAATCACCCCTCCTATAGGTGCAGAACCTCTCATTTATAATGACTCATGTTTAGTGGCATGTCTCCAGATTCTGTTGATTAGCAGACAACGGAACAAATTCGTAATAACCTATTTATATTCCTTAAAGAAGCAAACACCTCAAATTTCTGAAAGACTCATTATTATTATCATTTGGTGTTTTTCTTTTTTAACAAGTCCTCATACAGTAGTTAGCACATGCTTTGCACTTTACAAATTCTAACTCGTTAAATCCTTATAACAGCTCTATTATCCTCATTTTGCAGATTAGAAAATGATGCACAGAGAGGTTAAGTAACTTGTCCAAAGTCACACAACTAGCAAGTGGCAGAGCCAGGACCTGCGGCTCCCGAGTCTGCTCTGAACCTCCACTTTGTGCTGCTACAGATGAAAGTGAGCCCTCTTCCACTCATAGAGTCCTATTTGTTTAAAGCTCAGTTCTTTAAAAGTTTCAAAAGGTAAAAACAGGGGCCGGCCTGGTGGCGTATCAGTTAAGTTTGCGCATTCTGCTTCGGTGGCCTGGGGTTTGCTGGTTCGGATCCTGCGCACGGACCAACTCACTGCTCATCAAGCTACGCTGAGGTGGTGTCCCACATAGAAGAACTAGAAGGACCTACAGCTAGGACATACAACTATGTACTGGGGCTTTGGGGAGAAAAGAGAGGAAGATTGGCAACAGGTGTTGGCCCAGGGCCAATCTTCCTTAAAAAAAATTTAAAAAAAGAACAGCTTTGGTCAAATTCCTAAAAAAAAGATAAAAACAAAAGTTTGTTTAGGAGAAATATTACTCCCCCACACACCACATAAAAATAGATTCCTTTCGCCCAGTAAAGAGAGGAGAAGGGACACTAACTCGAAAGTTTGTCTGAAACAGCCAACATCTTGGAAGCAATTGCGTAACTACCCTTAAGAATGTGTGACAGAACATGAACCAAATGTTGTCCCAAAATTGTTGTGACAGGATACCAGTCTACAAACTACAGTAATGCTCCTATTTTCTGCTCCGTTGACCTATTATTACAGACAGATTTACTACTTTATTTCTAAAATTCACCCATAAAGATTCCAGTGCATACCTATAGGTGTTTTATTTGTCACCATCATCTAAGGCCATAATCTAAAGCCACATTTTCTATATCTATATCCAAAATTAGAATTTGGTTTTCACTGATAAAATTTGCAGCTGGCAAATTTCAAATTAATGAGGAAAAAATACTATCAGATGAACCTGTATGCAGAGCAGAGCCCGAAACAGACACCTGATTCAGGCCTGGGGGTTCCTCAGAGGATCTGGAAATACAAATCCAAAGCAAATTCCCTACAGTAACCACGATTTCCTGTGAACCTGTCATTTCCTGTGCCTGTGCAGGAGCCTCTAATGTAGGTTTCCACAATGCACCTTCAATTTCCCCCTCAGTGGGGCTTCTGACAAAGCAGGAAACCTGGCACCATTTCAAAGTAACGGCACCCCCACCCCCCCCACCACCCCCCCCCCACCCCCCCCCCCCCCCCGCCCCCCCCCCCCCCCCGGCCCCCCCACCCCCCCCACCCCCCAGATCCCTGAGGAACAGGGATTCCAGAGGGAAGCCTTCGGCCCACCATAGCTGCCCTGCAGAGAACTTAGGTTTAGGCCTGAAGAAGAAAAAAAAATCATGAACTATGACATGTTATTTTGTGTTCAGAGGGACCAAAGACAAGGAGCACCCAAGACATATATTAATATCTGTGAATGTTACAAATCTCATTACCTTCATTTTAACAAATACAAGAAATGCTGAAACTCTACTTCTAAAAACATCCAAATTTAAAAATTATTATTGCTATTGGTATTGACCCTCTATTAATACTTGTTTATTATATTACCCTTTGTAATTACCTCTGTAATATTGTTGTTATTATATTACCCTTTATTGAGCACTTACTCTGTTCAAGGCCTTGTTCTAAGTTTCGCTTATAAAATTTATTTTCTAACATAAATTTATTTTCTAACATATTTTGAAAATGGCTATTTCCATGTATTTGTTATAAAATTACCTACTATAACATTTCTTTAGGTCACCCACTGTTCTTTTTTGTTGTTGTTGTTGGTGTGTGTGTGAGGAAGATCAGCCCTGAGCTAACATCCATGCTAATCCTCCTCTTTTTGCTGAAGAAGACCGGCTCTGAGCTAACATCTATTGCCAATCCTCCTCCTTTTTTTTTCCCCAAAGCCGCAGTAGGTAGTTGTATGCCATAGTTGCACATCCCTCTAGTTGCTGTATGTGAGACGCGGCCTCAGCACGGCCGGAGGAGCAGTGCGTCGGTGCGCGCCCGGGATCCAAACCCCGGGCCGCCAGCAGCGGAGCACGCGCACTTAACCACTAAGCCACAGGGCCAGCCCACCCACTGTTCTTTTAACATGTAATCTAAGGAGAAGGAGAATTTCTCAACTGGGTCCTGCAGACATACTCTTTAGAATTCACTAGTGAGTTCTGTAAGAAATTTGTTTTCATTTTGTATTTTTGTTTTAATGATAATCTTAAAAAGCAA